ACTTTAGTATGATTAAATGAGATAATATCTTACATTATTTGGGCAATTTGGATGGAAAATAGATTCGATGACAATTGAGCTTTTTCATAAAAACTGACTGTAATTGGCAAAATTTCCTAACTTCTCAATTCATGAAATTGAGTTATGGAATAGTTTTGTCCCTCTCTATTCCACGTCTAAGCTTTCAAGTACTCCACACATACATAAATTTTCAAATACAAACTATGTATTAAAGTTCCATGCCATGCAACAGTTGCAAGGATATGATCCTAAATTTAATAAGACTGGAACTATTGTCAAAATTTTGTTCAAGCCTTCGAGGAAATATAAAGTATGGAGCCACACTACTCACGTAGATGCACTCATGTGCAAAGCAAACAAAGAAGAATTGTAATACCCCGCATTTTTATACTTTCTTTTATTTTAAATAACTATTTTGTGAGGTATTTAACTAATTTGAAATGATTTCTTTATGGCATTTTAATTATTTGTTTTAAATAAGTTTGGAAATATTTTATAAATGGAAGTTTTATTTAATAAATTATTTTATTAAGTGGGGATTTAATTTAGAAAAGTTTTATTTCAATAAAGTTTAATTAAGAAAGGGATTAGGAAAGAGCAAAAAGGGAAAGTTTAGGTAAGAAGGGTTTCTAGAGAAAGGGGTATAAATATGCAACACTTGGTTAATTTGCCCAGAGTGGAGAATACCCAAGGTAAACTTTCTCTCCTTTCTCCTTTATTTTTCTTTCCTTTTTTCCCCCTCCCCTGGCCTTTTTCGGCACTCACCACGCCGGCCACCACCACCACCAGCAGCGGCGACACCAGCAGCCCGACAGAAGTCGGTTGTGGTGCTGTGGCTGCTGTCTGGCCTCCCTTTTTGAAGAAAAAAAATTATTCCTTTTATTTTTCTTTTGTTTAAATCCTAGATCTAATTATAAATTACGAGTTTTATGTTGATTTTATGATGATTGATATTAAGTATGGTGCAAATTAATTTTCAGATTTTTATTCTAATTAAAAAGCCCCAATTTTAAAACCCTAGATTTATAAATAATTGATTATTGAAGGAATATGATTTAGAGTGGTTTAAACCTTTAATTTAAGGGTCTTAAAGTATATTTACAACAAGTTTTCATTAATTACTATTGCTAGAATTTTTTTTAGTATGCTAAAAATTAAGTTTCTTGAAGAAATTTTGACTACCCATTAATTGGGATTAAAGTATAAGGTTTTAAATTAATTTTCAGCTTGTTTTAATTAAATTATGAGTGGTTTGATAAGAGTATATATTGCTGGAAATTTGTGTGGAGTATATTTTAACGCCATGTTATGATTTTGGTTTGTAGGAGACTTTGAAGTGAGTGATTTTTATTAGTCATGACGATTTTAAGATCGTATTCAAAGTACGTTCGCGTACTTACCATATTTTTGATGATGTAGTAACATGCTAAGCTCGATTAATTAATCCCAAGTAGTATCATACTAGATTATGATTGGAAATTGTAATTTGGTTGATATTGGTGATTGAAATTATGAAGCACGATTTATTTGTGATGTATTAATGGTTTGAAAATAATTGTTTGACATGTTAAATATGAACCACACTTTTATTTATGGCATGATAGAAAGCATGTTTAATTAAACTAAATATTTAATTTAATTTGGAATATTAAAAGGGGATTTTATTATGGTTCATATAATTTTTATTGATGCTATAAGCATGAGAAAGAAGTTATTTAAGTGTCTTTATACACGAGGATTAAATTATATTTTTGGTGCCTTAGTGCACTTAAGGTGTTTCTAACACCGAGGGATAGGAATTGTGGCGCATTACGCGTTTAAGGTGTCTTTGACACCGAAGTAGATTTAAAAAGGGTTCAACATTAAATATTATGTGGTCACTAATTATTCAAAAATTTAATTGAAATGTTTGATTGTTTGAATAATTATTATAATTGAATGATTATGGTTTGAGAGTCATCACCAAGTTTAATAATATGTAAATAACGTAAAATGAAAGAGCTTACGCACCAAAACTCTTGGAACGTATACACTATGATCATATGGGGGGAGTTACGGGGTTTTATATTTAACCATAACTCTACTGGGAGTATATTTTTTTTATAACAATCCCACTAATAGTATTTACTTTACCAAAACAATTTCATGATTAAAATAGTAGTACACTATGTAGTTTAATAATGACTTCGGTAATACAATAATTAGTCCCTTAATAATTACAAATTCATGTTGATATTGCACCAAAAAAAAAAAATCATGTTGATAGTATTTTATAAGATTTAGGATAATTCTTTTAAGAAGATTAACCAATCTACCCACTTTTAACCCAAAAAAAAAAAAAAAAACCCAACTACTGTAATAAAAAAATTATTACACTAAACACCATGAAGGTATAATTAGTTATCATTCAACTCCAAAATTATTCTCAATTTTAAAGCAAGTTATAATACACTCAGCTCTGAAATTGAGACATGGGTACTTATCTTTAAATAAAAAAATTGATGAAAATGGAGTTGTTCTTCTCCATGTCGAAGATCAAAGATTTGTTTTTTTTTTTTTTAGATTCTTGTTAATGATAATTGTTATTGTAATCCGTTTACCCCTTTTCACTCCTTAATTTTCTATTAATTAAATTTGGGGGTTACTAAATGTCACAATAGAATTACTTAGGGCGAGATATTAAATGACTCATCTATCCTTATAAATTTCATGTTTGACAATTGACATCATTCAATTTTTCTCACCAACCATACTCCTTCCACCACCATCACCCTAAACACCATCACCACCACCACCCTAAGGTCGCCGGAATCACCATCACCTTAAACACCACCACCATCACCACCCTAAGGTCGCCAGAATCATCCAATTTTCTCACTATCTATCACACCAAATCAACCACTTATCATACCAAATCAACCTGAAAAAGGAAGAGGTTGACGACAATGGAATCACGGCGTGGGAAGGGGGTTCATTTGCCGGGAAATGTGGGATAAACGCCGGCCAATTCGTCGGTAATTAGTTTTTTTATTTTTTTATTTTCGCATAGATTCGCATAGTCGCGTGCTATATGCGACTCCACCACGGCATAGTCGCATATAGCATGCGATTACACCGTGGTGGAGTCGCATATAGCGTGCGACTAAGCCACAATACAGTCACATATAGCACGCGACTCTACCACGGTGTAGTCGCATATAGTAGGCCTAAACAAAACTATCCGAGAATCCGGTAATCCGATCTGCTACCGATCTAAATTCTTGGATATCCGATCCGAGTTTTCATTTCGGATCGGATATCCAATCCGAAAAAGCGGATATCAAATGCGGATTTGGATATTAATTTTCAAAATTTCGGATATCCAATATCCGAAATATAAAGCCTAAAATAGTGAAAGATATATAAAAATTTTAATATGTTCATATAAAACTAACCTTGTATTATTAACTTATTATAATATTCTTAATATATTTGATGATAATTTTATTGCAAAAGGACTACTATTTTATTAAAATATGTTGTACAACTTAGCAATAAAAAATCGGTAAAATTAGTGAAATTTAGAAACTACTCATAACAATTTTACTTAATATTGGATAATGGATATCCAAAGCATCCGATCCGAAAATTTTGGATATCCGAAATTTTCAAATTGGATTTGGATATCAATTTATGATATCCGAGTATTCGGATATCCGATCCGTGAACAGGCCTAGCATATAACGTGCGACTATGCCATGGTATAGTCGCATGCTATATGCGACTACACCAATATGCGACTACACCGTGGTATAGTCGCATATATCATGTGACTACACCGTGATATAGTCGCATATAACATGCGACCGGGTATAACGGATATTGAAAATTAAGTCCGACATATATCTGACTCGACGGTGTCGACGGTTCGTCGTCCCCACGCACCAAGTGCCTCCAATATGAACGCCAACCTTCATTAACTCATTTTATATGTCGTGGGTGGTGGACCATTCAAGGTGGAGTAGTGGTGTCTGATGGTCAAGGTAGAGTCGTGATGGACCAGTCAAGGTGGGTTTGTGGTGGACCGGTCAAGGTGGAGTTGTGGTGGTGGAACAGTCAAGGTGAGTGGTGGTATGGGTGGTGGAGCTAATGGTGAAGGTGGAGCTAAGACAAAGTTAGTAGATAATAATGGTTGGATTGTTATGTAATTTTTAAAATTATAAGGGGCATGAAAGTCTTATAATACTGTAGCTTGAGTAATTTCATTGTGGCAAATAGCAATTCACTTAAATTTTGTTTATTAATTTCTGGAGAGAAGGGTGATTTGTTGCTGTGATATTTGGGCATTTGTGTAATTATGCAACTGATATTTGGAGCGTTTTCAAAATAAGCTAATTCATATCAATAAGCTAATGTAATCTGATGCTTACCAAACACCTCAATTAGGGTAAGTTTATTGCAAGTCTTGAGTAAAGTCTCAACATCAGTCTTACTCAATATTCTTGCAATAAACTCATCAAAGACTCATGTGAGTCTTACATGGAGTTTGGAAAATCCAAACCCGTGTCAAGACTTTGCAAAGCCAATGAAAATTAGCCACCTCACCAACCAAAAGTTTACAATAATTTTTAAAAAAATAAAAAAAAAGATATTTTACAAAAAAATAAAAACATTTTGAAAAGGATTAAATAAGTTTGGAGTGAGTCTTGGGATAATGTGTAAATTTGGAGAAAGTTTTGTATGAATCTGAATAATATAAAAGTATTTTAAAATTAATGGAAAGCTGATGTGGCAGAGTATGAAGTCTGAGTCTGAGTCTGGGTATAAACTCACCCTTAGATGATTGGTTTGGTCAAACCCCCTAATTGTGCTGAATAAGCTCTTTTTTTTTTTTGGCTCAAAACGCTAATAACCAAACATGGCCAATAAATTATTAGCCAAATTTGAAATGATTGTAATTGACAAATTTTCCTAAATTAAATAAAAATACTTCACTCTTTTTTATGAGAGACAGCAGGACCAAGTGAGGCCAATAATGAAGAATGAGTGTAGCCGAGGGTGACTGTGAAAGGTTGTGATGAGAGGAGCCGTCAGCCGTGAAAATGGCTGTGTGTTAATAATGTAAAAGGAAGAAAAAAAAAAAAGAAAAAAAAGTCCATTGGTGGAGATGGATGAGGAGGGAGATTGGGGTGCGGAGGAATCGAGACTACTACTATCCAGATCCACCCACTCCGATTGTCATCTTCATGATCCTAATCCTGACGATGAATTGCAATTTCAGGAAATAAAAAGACCCATGGCGAAGTCACTCCATAGATGTAAAACAGCCCCAGCAAAGGATATGGCCGCCGTGGTTCGTGAGCTTCAAGCGAAATACACAGCAACTGGCGGTGGCGGTGATGTTGGTGGTAAAGCTGAAGTCGAGGAGGAGGAAGACGAAGATGAAGATGATGAAGATTCCTCGGGTACGAGGACGGTGATGGTGAGACAAGCAGGTATACTACTGATAGTATACTTAGTCATGGGTGTTTTGGTGTATCAACTCAACAAGGATCAATTTTCAAGTGGAGAAGGAGGTGTAGAGACTCATCCAATTGTTGATGCTCTCTACTTCTGCATCGTCACAATGTGTACCATCGGCTACGGTGATATTACTCCTCTCACTCCTTTTACCAAACTGTTTTCCTGTCTCTTTGTACTTGTTGGCTTTGGTTTCATCGACATTCTCCTTTCTGGAGTACTCAATTATGTGCTTGATCTCCAGGAGCAGAATATCCTCTCTGATATACTTCATCATCAGACTAATAATGTTAATAATCCGAATCTGAGTCATAATCGCAATCCCCCTTTCCTCCGCTTTCTCACCCTCAGGCTTGTAGATGTTCAGAAAGGTCGCATGAGAATCCGTCTCAAAGTTGGTCTAGCACTGCTGGTCCTTATCCTATGCATCGGTGTTGGAACTCTCTTCTTGTATTTTGTTGAGCAATTGTCTTTGGTTGACTCCCTTTATCTATCTGCCCTTTCCGTTACTACCGTTGGCTACGGCGATAAAGCCTTCATCACCCTCTCCGGCCGCCTTTTCGCTTCTGTTTGGCTCCTCTTTTCCACTTTGGCTGTCGCCCGCTCCTTTCTCTTCCTTGTTGAGGCTCGCATTCACAAGCGTCAACGTACCATTGCCAAGTGGGTTCTCCAAAGGGACATTACTCCTCTTGACCTCTTTGCTGCCAACATCAATAATAACGATTTCATCAAGTATGACCATCTCCTTTTTTTTTTTTTTTTTTTTCTAAAACTGTATACAAGTAGTATATTTCTCTAATCTTTACAATATAATAATTAATAGATGTATATTGTATTATAGCAGAATTGTTCACTGAGTGGTAAAATCAGGAACCAGAAAAAAACAGTAGCAGAGCACTTTAACACCTCTTTATCATGTCATGAATAGAACCCATGTAAGCAAGACAACACATACTCGTGTGAAGTGATGAGGTCCTTGCTCAGGAGTCTAAATAAACCTGATTTATCACTATATTACGAGTAGTATTTAGACCTCAGTTGATAATTGGGCAGTCATCATCCATAATCTAAGTGGCCAATTTGCCATACAAATTTTCCATTTTACAAATGTGTAAAAGCTATTAAGCTCAATCATCATTATTACTCAATCCTTGGGCATCCTTGAGTCCATGACTGTTGATGGACTTTTTACGTAGTGTAGTGTATTGTGCTTCACAAAAGCTCATGGTTTGTTTACTGGGTTTAGCTATTTGGCCTATATCTATACAGTCTTTGGGAGCTATGTTTATGGTCTACAAGTAACTAAATTTGGATTTTCCAATGTGTGTCATCAAAATTATCTATTAATTATACTATGCATGTATCTGGCAATCTGAAGTTGAGAAGAACCACTGATCCCCCATAATTACCTTTACGCGCAGCAAATCAGAATATGTTATCTTCAAGCTTAAAGAGATGGGAAAGATTGTAGAGCAGGACATATCACAGATTTGCCATCAGTTTGAAAAGCTTGATTCCAACAACATGGGAAGGATTACGCTGCCTGATCTATTGCAAAGTCGCCCTTTTTCGTGAAAGCAGAAGGTTTGGCCTGAAAAGCATTGCAAGAGGGTTGTTATGAGGGTGTAAGCAACATTTGCATCCTATAAATTCATGGTTTTATTTTTTAATGGTATCTCTGGAATTATGCATATATACAGGGGACTTACTGATTATCCTCATTTATAGAAATCTCTGTCCTGTAGACTTGTATATTGTGTCCAGAACAATGTAGAAATACTAAATATTGTATATTCTAAACAGGTTACCTAGTACATCATTGTCAATAATCACTAGGCAACATTGAGATCACATGAAAATGTGCAAACTCTTGAAATTATTGCATGGTTTCCTACTTTCCTGTGTACAATTGTGACACAATTTCTTTATTAATGTAACTAATCTTGATGAAATCAATGTAAAATGGTGTATATATGTTTTGTTTAATTATAAGCCTGAAGCTCTCCTTAAATTTGGTACACAGATTACTTAATACTTGGTTCACTGTAAGTTATCAAGTCTAGTGAATAACTTTGGCTATTTTCTGTGAAAAAAAATCTATTTTAATTCCTTACTGTCTGTGTTAAACTTGCTTTCCTTCTTAATAATTTTATTTGCGTACTTGACTTCAGTTTGGTCTATGGTTAAGTTTCCTCAATTTGCTATAATAGTTTGATGCTGATATTTTCTCCTTTCTTTGCAGTATAATTGCTTCACTCTTCAGCATTAGCTGTAGATATTTAATTGTTGGAGTGTGGACACTATTCCCACCTCAAGTCTGATTATAATACATGTCCTAGAAGTCTTTAGATGGATTAAATCTGTTCCCCCTTACAAATGTTATTGGGAGCTACTCCAATTCACCTGTTGCAGAAGAAATCCTATGAATAAAGGAAGTCATGTTCATCACGGGAATCATAGGAATATTATAATTCTGAAGACTAAAGGAGATATCTATGAGCCTATGATGGCCAATGCTCATAAATCCTTGCCAGGTTGGTTCTTTATTTAGTCCTTCATTAAGCGACATGAAGTACATTATATCTCAAAATGGTTTTAGATGGTGATAGGAATTGTAGCATTTGGTTTATCTTAATATAAGATATCTTGAATATGAGCCAAAATAGTGGGGGTATTTCATTTTCAACTTGCATATAAAGGAAACTAGAATATGTGTTAGGCACAAGAGATATAGCATGGGTTAATTATATATTACTAGTTAGGGAGAGGATCTGCAATTTTTTTAGGGTGCTTGATCCTCACAATTTTAGGATGGGAAGGCAATCAAAGATTCAAAGCTATAGGAACACCATTCTTAATTTTGTTATTTAGGTGTTGAGACTCTACTATTCTCACATCTACCTTGTACAAAATCTGATTTTTATGAAATTGTTTGGAAACTTGATATCTGCATTATGTTCAAGGGATATTTATGTATAATTATATTTTACTAGTTAGGATTATTTGAAGTGAGACTAAATGATAACCATTGCGGATGTTTGTGTATAATTGTGTATATGGTTGCTACCTTCTGTAAATTAGTGCAAAGCTAGAATTACAGCATTATTGCCATGCATATGTACCAGCAATATGTGGGATATTGACCATTTTAGTTAAATGGATGCAACTGTGAATTGTTGTTCTTGTGTTCTTCCAAAATCTTGGTTACCCTTATTTTTTTTCTTGCAAGATCTGAAAGGCAATCCAGAATCAATTATGGTCCAGGTGGCTCTGGCGGTAAGCTAGAAAGAGGGTGATCTGAAGTTCATAGATCCTTCGAGTCATGTAAACTCAAATAACAGGACCTCACACACCTAATTTTTTCTGAGAACCTTGGCCATCCTCATGTTATTTGGTTTATTGTCTACCATGGCCATCCTCATGTTATTTGGTTTATTGTCTACCTGTCTAATAGCATGCCATATGCTGAAGGTATTCCTCTCTCTCTCTCTCATTTTGTTACTCCTTTGTAATTAATAGTTATATTTGTTCAGTACCTTATATTAATTGATGAGGAGAAGATTGAAAAATAAAAATCACTTGCTTTTGTAGAGGTCTTTTATGTTTTTTTGGTACTATATTGGTCCATTCTTGGTCCCATTTTGTCAACTTATTTGGATTATTTTAGGCAATAAAAGTTATGAACTTATATGAAGTATAAGTCTTGATGTAGTAAAAATAAGGTCTTACAAAATCCATAAGTTGAATAAAAATATAGCCTTAAGATATAAACTAATTTGGGTTGTAGGGAGTAGGCTAGAAGCAAATGTGTTTGGCAGCATGTGTATATGTATGTATGCGTTTTGGTTTTTTAAAACGGTTTAATACTAGAAAAGAATACGAACACTAACGATTGCTTTTAGGGTAATTGACTTGAGGGTACCAATGTAAAATCTGAATGACTGAAATGCTTTGAGCATATTGATGGGTTGGATATTACTATGCACTCCGTAGTAGTTATCATGTGCTATTTCTGAAAGATGAGCCACACTCTTTACTATTCTTCATCTCCCTTGACCCTTGGGTAATTGTGATAAATTAGTTTTGTTAAGAGCATTGATTTGTATGACTGTATGTGGAAGTACGAGCTAATGGACTTGCAGGACGAAAAACTTGTACCAAACATAGATTTGGTATGGAGATGAATATGGAAATGACGTGTTTGTTTGATAACCACCTGAGTCAGTGAAGATCTTACGATTTGGTAGGAGATGGTGTGTTTGTTTGTTAACCACCTGAGTCAGTGAAGATCTTACCTTCCTTTTCCTGTAACTCCACACGTGAAGCTTTGAAAGCTTATGTGTACCCTTGCTTAATCCAAGCTGATTCTTTTGAATAGAAGTGCAACTGATACACAATGTGAAGCGACAGTGTTAAAAGTAGTAGTGCAGCCAAAATCCTTTTACTGCATTTAAGGGAGCGGCGCCCTGAGAGGCTAAGAAGCAGAGCTGGTTATAAATAAGTGTCAGAAGCAGAGCTGTGAAGCTTTAGACGATCACCAATTTTTACCCTACAGCCTACTAAAAAATACAATAGGGATTTTGCAACTTGTGAGCTGGTTGACATAGGATGATAGGAGTTTAAGGAATTGAGGTGTAGTTTGGTCCACATGGGAATAAGAAAATTCCATGAATGGCAAAGTTTTGGGAATTTCCTAAAATTATTTGGTTAATTTCAAGGGAAGTAACTTCATATACTTCCTCCGTTTCACATTAGTTGCAATACTAGGCTTGACTCATAGTTTAAGAAAATTAAAGATTAGACTTGTAGCCTTATTACTACCTCCGTTAAATATTCTGTGCAACTTTATAATTTTTTATCTATCTCAAATAATTCCCCAAATTTGCACATAATGTTTAACGGAGGTAGTCTATACTAGACCTGGCAAATGGGTCATTCGGGTCGGGTCATTTCGGGTCAACTAACATTCGGGTCGGGTATGGGTTGGTCAGGTATGTTCGGGTTTCGGGTCAACTTCGGGTCAGGAATCGGGTCGGGTCAATTTCGGGTCGGGTATGTTCGGGTCGGGTCAATTTCGAGTCAAGTATGTTCGGGTCATATTCGGGTCAGATCAAAATCTGTTCAAGGTCATGTTCGGGTTGTTTCATTTGTGAATCAAGCTCAAATCAATAATTTTATACGATGTATATATTTTGTTATTGTTATAACAACACTACCAATTTAGTTTATGAGCTTATCTATGATTAAAGATGAACAATTTAAGTGTACAAGTCATTTTAAGTTCAATTATAAGGTAATTTTAGTTCAGGACATTTCGGGTATCGGGTTCGTTCGGGTCAATTTCGGGTATCGGATCTGTTCGGGTCAAACAATTCGGGTCAATTTTCAGTCGGGTCAGTTCAGGTGTCGGGTTAGGATCGGGTCAACTCCATTTTCGGGTCATTTTTGGGTCGAGTCAATTTCGGGTTTCGGGTCATTTTTGGGTCAATGTTTTTGGGTCAATTTCGGGTCATGGGTCGGGTCATTCGGGTCAGGTGGTCATTTGGTATGGGTCAGGATTGCCAGGTCTAGTATATACTACGTATAAAGTATTGTTAATAGAGATAGAAATAGCGAACTGTTAAACATCGCCCGCAAATTCCTACATAAAGCCCACAAAATAAGAGTGAAATGACACTTTTGCCCTCAAACTAAAAAACACAATTTCTCTCTCTACTCTCTACTTCCACTTTCTCTCTCTAAATTATTTCCAGAGCTATGTCGAGGCGGCCCGGCAAGGAAGTGGCGGCACCGGCGGTGGGCGGAAGGCGGTTTGCCGGCCAGAAGTTAATTTTTTAAATTTTTGTAATTTTTTTTTTTAAAAAAAAAACCTCCAGCGACGGTGGGGCGCCAAGGCGAGACGCCACCACCACGGAGGAAACGCCTAGGCAAGACGCCCATACGGTGGTGGCGGCGCCTAGCCCAGACGCCACTACCACGGCGGCGGCGCATAGGCTAGGCGCCACAGCCGTGGTAGTGGCGTCTGGGCTAGGCGCCGCCACCACCGTACGGGCGTCTTGCCTAGGCGCCTCCTTCTCTTTTTTTTTTTAAAATTTTTTTTTTGTTTTTTTTTAATTTTAAATTTTATTTTCGAATTTTTTTTTTTTTTATAAAAATTTGTTTTTCTTTTTTTTAAATTGTATGTTCCCTTTTTTTTTTATCTTTTTTTTTTTAAATTTTGTTTTTTTATTTGTTTTAATTTTATGTTCTATTTTTTTTTTTAAAAAAAATTGTTTCTGGTTTTAATTTTTAATTTTATGTTCCTATGTATTTTTTTTTTTTGAATTATATTTTTGTATGTAAAAAAATTATAAGTTCCCTTTTTTTTTTATAAATTTTCTTTAAAATTTTGATGTTCTTCTTTTTTTAAGTTTTTGCAATTTTAAATTTTTTAAGTTTTGTTAGTTTTTTGTTTTTGGTTTTTTCTTTGCATTTTTGATTTTTTGTTTTTGTTTATGTTTTTCATTTTTTAGTTTGTTGTTTATATTTTTTGTTTTTGGTTATATATTTTGTTTTTGGTATATTGTTTTGTTCATATTTATATTTTTTTATGTTTATATTTATATTTTTTATGTTTTTATTTATATTGTGTTGTTTATATTTTTATTTTTTATGTGGGGTGACTGCCATGTGTGACCAGCACTACATGGAATGGTACATCCGGCACTCGCACCCGAGGTTGATCAAAGACATCGACGACGCAGATGATGACGATGTGCCACCTGCCACTGCCTCTTATGCGGTACGTCTCATCTTTTATTTGTTGTTCTCTTATTTTAATATATATATGTATAATACGTCGTTTCATGTTTTTTGTTTTGTGTAGTGGATGGGCAAGATTATGCAGTTGGGACACCGACTTTTTGAGGAAAGGGACTGCATGACGAGTGCATCAGGCAGAGCTGTTATTGACGATCTGGAACGGACCCTTGAGCAGTGGCAGTGGGCGTCACAGAGGGATTACTGATATTTGAAATTAGACATTATCTTTTTAGTTTGTAATATTTGAAATTATTGTTCTTAGTTTTTAAAATTCAATATTATCTTTTAAAAATGAACACATAGAAATGACATAGTATTGACAATACAAGGCCTCATAGTAAAAGGTAGGTGTACATCAACAAAAACTACATGGCAATTAAATTGTTCCACTGTTGCACGCGAGCATGGTACAAAGCATCCCAACCCTCCACGCTTGCTCTACGAATTTCATACCACTTCGGTATGATATGTGGGACCGGAAAATCGGGTGACATGTCTAATCGGATAAAATGTCTGTATGACGGCCCAAGAAATCCAATAGCAACGTCCCTTACCGGTCTGGTGACGGTCTCGCGCGAACACCAGGGCAGAACCGTTGTACATGGATAATAGGCTCGACTATGTAAACCAAGGCCGAAATGCATGACTGCACACTTGTAGATGTTTGCAACGGCAAAGAGATCAAGTGGCGCATCGAACCAATGATTTTGATCGCAAGGTCCCCCTCCCCACCGGATACGCTGCAGAGACCTATCCAAGTCCTCGCCGTACACATGGCCATACACATCTCGGTTTGATGCGATTTCACTGTACATCAACTGCCGCACTAAACCGTAGTTGTCTTCACCCATTTGAAACACATCCGCCACAACCCGAAATCCGCAGTTACCATCTGCAATGACATCATTCCACCCGTCCAAGAATGGCATCATGATATTAGGGATCCTGTCCTTATATGGAAAATGTTCAATGTCCATTCTCCCTGTTACACACATCAATAAACACAATAAACAAGTCAACAGTAAACTAATCAAACAGTCAACAAAAGAAATTGAAGTCGAATGTCTTACCGGTGCCGGGCATATTCACCGACGACGATGATTGGCTGCCACTTGATGAGGATGTACGACCACGGCCACGGCCACGGCCACGACCTCGAGATAGTTCTGATGCCGTTCCTCTGAGTATCAATAGCCTTGTTTATTCTCTCGAACAGTGTATCCAGAGCAGCCGTGGAAGAATCAATCCAGTCCTTCAAAGCTCTATGAGCGCTCTCGACTCTGCATGTCGTAGTGTTCCCAAAATGAAGAACTTGGTTCGTCCAATATTTGACAAACTTTTCCCTCTGAGGTACCCACTGGTGCATCACATAGTCTACGATTGGCGGGCACCACTTGTACGCATCCTTGAAGTTTTCCAAGGCTCGATCGTACTCTGCCTCTGTGGTAGCTTGCATGATCTTCCGCCACTTACCATTTACCAATGTCTCTGCTGTTACTAAATTCTTGTTGAAAAGATTGTAGGCTTTGACTTTCACGCAGTTGTTGATGTGCCATGTGCACAGTAAATGGCTCGACTCCGGAAACAGCTCCGCTATAGGGGCAAAAAGACCTCCCTCACAATCACTTACGATGGCCGATGGCTGTACATTTGGGCCGATGTAGTTTCTCAACTTTTCCAACACCCAACGGTAACTCGCAGCCGTCTCATCCTTCATGACTGCATAACCAATCAGAAAGTTCTGGTTCGTTGGAGCCATCCCAACCATCTCAACCAGTGGGAACTTGTACTTGTTTGTCTTGTACGTTGAATCGATCAAAATCACAGATGGCCAAGACGAAATCATATCAGCACAATCAGGATGGACAAGGAACAAATGAGTTACCTCCGATGTGTCTTCGTCAGATTCAAACCAGTAAAGGTAACCACGTGCTTGTGCCTGGTGCAGAAGCTGCTGTATAGGGTTCCTTCCCTCTGACCGTTCAAACCTCAATTTCTGTCTGACGTTGTAGATGTGTCTTCGGTTTGGCTGGTCTTCGGGGAATTTCTCTAACACAGACGCTAATATTTTAGCGAGCTTCACTTGAGCATCACTCATTTCTTTTACAACTAGTTTCGCAGCTGGACTTAGGCCGCTTAACTGCCGATGCCCCACTTTGTATGCTATCAGCTCATGGTTGTGATATCCCCATTTGCCGTAACCCTTCACTTCCCAACCGTCACGCCTTTGATGTTGTCGAACCTTAACTCGGAACTGACACCCACAACCTTTCCGCTTTGAGTCAAACCGAATCGCTTTACTGAAATCTCGTTCTTCTCTTTTGCGATAACGGTCGCATCTCAAAATGCGATCCATTCTACCATCCCGTTGAGATTTATGAGTTGCTACTACTAAACAAAAGCCTGATCTAATTGCAACCTGTTTTGCCCAATCAATCGCTTGTTGAGCATCTTCGAACAGGCCATCATGTACAAAAATCCCACTGTAATCATTTCCGTCTCCACCATAATCCTGTAACAATAACATATAACGTATAAATATAATTACATTAAGATTAAATTAATACACTTAACACAAAATTATCACAAACGCAATTTCTAAATTTTAAATTTCTAAATATCATTTTTATATTTAACGCATAATACATTTAAAAAACAAAATAATAACACACATTTCATTTCAAATTTATCAAACATAAATAAACAAACAAATTAAAAAAAAAAAAAAAAAAAAAAAAAAGAAAAACAAACAAAAATAAAAACAAACAAACAAATAAAAAATAAAACAAAAACAAAACCAAAAAAAACAAAAAAAAAAAAGGGGATTAAATTAAAAAATAAAAATAAAAAAAAAAAATATATATATTCCCCTAGTGGCGCCTGGCCAGGACGCCGGAGCCACGGCTAGGGCGCCTGGTCAGGACGCCGGAGCCACGGCCGGGGCGCCTGGTCAGGACGCCGCCGCCATGGTGGCGGCGTCCTGGCCAGGCGCCCTGGCCGTGGCTCCGGCGTCCTGGCCACGCGCCACTACCATGGTCGAGGCTTCTCCACCAGGCGCCGTTACCACGGTGGCGGCGTCCTGGCTAGGCGCCACAACCACGGCATGGCCTTTTGGCTAGGCGCCAGCCACCATTTCGTCCTTACGATGCGTTACGAACCTCGTTTTCCGATGACGACGGCGATTCTCCGGTGATCCTCGGCGATCCGGTGCTGCTCCACATTTTTTTAGTGCGAAAAATTTATCTTCGGTTAAAATTATAAAAAGGGCAAATTTGTCAAAAAATTATAAAATGTGGGCTTTATGTAGAGATTTGCGGGCGACGAATAACAAGTCCCTAGAAATAATAATAAAAAAAAAAGTAGTGTGGGTGGGGTTGGTAAGAAAGAGAATTAATAAAGTAGTTGTGAAAGTGGGGTTTGTAGGAAATATAAATTATAATGGTGAAATCTTTCCAAATATAATAGTGTTGCAACTAAAGTAAAACAGCTAAAAATAGAAAGTGTTGCAACTAATGCGAAACGGAGGGAGTAGGAATTACTACTATTTTTTTTTGATTAGCAGTAGGAATTACTACTCACATAAGGAGATTAGGTAAGTAAATTTATATATATATATATATATATATATATATATATATATATATATATTTAACAAAGGTAAGTAAATTCTTATAATTTGTGAAAAGTGTAAATTCCTAAGAAGTTTTTTGAGGCTTATCATCAGTAAAAACATCTACAAAGATTCACAAAAGAGACAAGAAAAAAAGAGATGAAAAAGAAAGAGAGAGAAGGAGGCCAGGATAGTAGAGGAAAACCTTAAAAAAAAAAAAAAAAATATATATATATATATATATATATATATATATATATATATATATATATGAAAATTTGCCAAGAATAATACCACCTTTCACCGGTCTTCCAATAATAGAACCACCTTTGGATTATTTCAAAATAACACGACCTTTGACATACATCTTCTATAAATAGAACAAAAAACCGGTAACCTATTTAATAGGTTACATTGGACACGTGTCGCGTTGTAATTTGTTAATTTTTTAAATAGAAAAACCTTAAATTTAAATAAATAAAAAACCATCTTCCTGTTTAGTAGCCCCCCTCCACCTCCACCTCCACCCCCCTTTCCCCCTCCCCCTCCCCCTCCCCTGTTAGCCTACCACTCACCGAGAACAACCCCCCCTCCACAGCCTCACCCTCGAAACTGCCCTCCCTCCCATCCCCACACTCGAACAGCCACGTATCCCCACCCACACCCTCGAAATCGCCTCAAAGCCACCGCCTCGCCCTTAAAACTATCTCAAAATCATCGCCCTACCCTTGAAACCGCCTTAAAACAACCACTCTGCCCTCGAAATCGCCTCCCAAACCAATTTCCCTCACTTACTGGAAAATTGAGAGAGATTAAAACCTTTTCAACCACCTGCCGAAAAAGAAAGAGAGATCGAAACCTTATCCCCTACCAACCGAAATAGAAAGAGAAAGCTTGCGTGAAGGGGAGGGGGGGTGTCGAAATCTGGGTAGGGAAGGGAGGGGGTCCAGAATCGGGGACGGGGTAGGGAGACCGGAATCGAGGATGGAGAGGGGAGGGGGCCGTAAACGCGGATGAGGACGAGACGGGGGAAAAGAGGGGGCCCCACGCTGGTGGTTTCCGATTAGGGGGGCTATTTTAAAAAATGGAAAATTGATATAAAAAAAAAAGACTAATCACATTGTGACACATGTCACAAGTAACCTATTAAACAGGTTACCAACAGGTCACGTTCTATTTATAGAAGATGTGTGTCAAAGATCGTGTTATTTTGAGATAATTTAAAGGTGGTTCTATTATTGGAATACCGATGAAAGGTGATATTATTCTTGGCAAATTTTCCAAAAATCTAACAATAGAGGTTAGAAAAACCCTCTAAAGGGAGAAACCCTTTCAAATCCCTATCTTTTCTAATTGTTTTGTAACACCTCAACTACCCTCACTTATTTGTATCATAAAGTTAATTAATTGACCTAAAATTATATGCCGGTAAAAGTGTAGCTTTTTTATTTTTTTAAAAAAGGGGTCTTCAAAAACAAAAGAGAGAAAATATATACTCTGTACAATAGTAAATTGTTAGAGGACAACTCAACTAGATGCGTATACGCTATTGCGCCTTTTCACATTAGAGCCTATTAAGCTAGAAATGTGGACGCAGCTTGGGCCCCATCATATCCGACGTGTGGAGGAGATTCGAAGCCGTGGTATTTGTTTATGTTGGTTCTAATACCATATTAGATGATCAACTCAGTAAAAAATGTAAGCAAATGGTTGAACCATTGAATCGGTTTGTATACTCTATTTATATTACTTCCTCCGTTTTTATTTTATTGCACCATTAGGACTTTTACACTATTCACTTAATATTCTTTGACCATCATTTGTAATTTATCCATTCGGAAAAATATAGTCATGTGTGATCTAGTTATTCGTCTCGAAAGCTTCTTTTCAAATATCAATTTTTTATAATTTTTATAAAAGTATAATTGAAGGTGTTAATAAGTAAAACAATGCATTGACAAGCCTGAAATCCCGTGCAATAAAAAAAGAACGGAGGAAGTATAATAAATGGCAGAAAGGAGAGTTCTGGAATAGTAGTAATTATGAAGAAAGTTTAAATGGAGGAATTGGAAAATTATGGGAATTTGCAAATGGATGAGTTGTTTGGTTTACAATAAAAAGTGTAAATGAGGGAATTGCAAATTCATGGGAATTGTGACCTTCCCACAAAACATGAAGTTAATTACCTATCCTCCAGGTAACTCAAAATCTCCATGATTTGCAACTTCTTTTATCCCAACCAAACAAGTTAAGACATTTGTTAGGTATTTAATTTCCGTGGAAAGTAAATTTCCTTATCAAACAAACAACACCTACAAAAACAGTGAAAGCAAAGATACAAGGCATAAAGTTAGGGACCAGTGAGGTTAGTGAGAGTACCTCATCCGTTACGAGTCCCAAATCATCAGATACAACTTACAAAGACGACACTCAGACGCAAATGAAGTAAATGTTTTGAAACTTACTTTTTCCAAACCTTTCTTTTCGCTTCCAATCCAAAATTATGCAAGATTACAACTTACTTCAATCATCCCTTTTTTCTTTTGTAGTATACTCATTTTTAATAATGATCACAAAATATTATATGCATTATAGGAGTAATAAGCACTTTTTCCTTCTCTTCTTTTTCCGCGAAATCTCTGCTTCTTAGCCTGCTTTTAGACATTTACCACACTTTCTGATTCTAGATACTCTTCTCATTCTATGCATTTTTGTAAAAGTATGAGGTGACAATAAATGTATACAATAATTGATTATTAATTAAGATGAATCAAATAAGACTAAATGGGAAGAACAAAAAGGTTTGAAAGAAATACAAGTACGAGTATTAAATATACAGTATACTCCAAATCTAAATTATTCAGTGTTAAAGTTGCATGATAATGTAATTGACATTAGAAATATGGAGCAATTTCTTTTCTTGGGCTGCTAAATATCTGAAATCAAAAATAAAAAGAATTGTCACTTTGTCAGTAAATGCTCCCTTCACAATCTGAGCTGAAGCATAAAATTAAAACTCTACTCGCCAAGGAACGTATATATTCTCTTAAATACTAGTGAGTACTTACCTTATGAAGAGGGGGTTTTGTGCTTTACCAATACCAGTTGGCAGTAGTAGTAGTTGTTCCTTTATATATCTATGTTCTTGTCTTTCTCTTAATTAATAATTCTTCTACTTAAATAGTTGGTTGTACTGTGAGCTGTTGCAAATCAGTCAACTAAAGATAAAAGAAGAAAAAAAGGGAAGATTAATTGTTGATGGAAATGAGTAAAGAGGTAAGAGTGTTGTTAGTAATGATGGTAGCAGCCATTTTGTTAGGCTGCAGCTGCAGATGCAGTGTGAATGCAGGAAACATTGAAAAGGAAAAATCGGCAGTGGGGGATCCAGGAATGAAGAGGGACGGACTGAGGGTTGCCTTTGAGGCCTGGAACTTCTGCAATGAAGTTGGTCATGAAGCCCCTGCCATGGGTAGCCCTCGAGCGGCCGACTGCTTTAATTTCATCCCCAAAGCTTCTATCAGCAACAAAATCCAAAGTGGAGGAAGTAATAGGTCCTTTGAAATTCAGCACAAAGTGACAGAAGCACATAACAAGCTTGGGGTGGGAATGCCTTTTCCAGGGTTGACAGCAGAAGCTCTGACTAATGCAGATCTGTATGCAGCCCAAAAGGAGCTATATTTGGGAAGCTTATGCGAGGTTAAAGCCGAGGCCGAAGCCCCGTGGCAATTCTGGATGGTTATGCTGAAGAATGGCAACTTTGACGGTAATTCAGGTCTATGTCCACAGAATGGGAAAAAGGTTGGTCCATTTTATACACCTCCAGGCAGGTTCCCTTGCTTTGGAGCTGGGTGCATGGACCAACCTTCCTTTCACCATAACCCAACCTCATCTCATGCTAATGACTCTGATATAGCCACCATGACGGGTGGCTTCCGGGGTACCTATGACTTAGATTCCGATATCAGCAATGTCGTGGACGTGGGCGTGGGAGTCTCTTTTTATGAAGTTACTTGGAAGAAGCAACCTGGACAGGGGAGCTGGTCTTTCAAACATAAGCTTAAAACTTCCAAAAAGTATCCGTGGCTTATGCTGTACCTCAGGGCTGATGCAACTCAAGGATATTCTGGAGGTTATCACTATGACACCAGAGGAATGCTCAAAACTGTAAGTATTTTATTTATTTATTTATTTATTTATTTTTGGGTCCTGCATCAATTCAGGGTTTCCACTCCATCTCTATGAAAACAAGTAAATTTTTGGCCAGTAGAAAAAAAATCTTCTAGTAGTACAAAATTAAGAATGAAAATGTGATATTCAACTGGATCCCGTCCCTACATGTGCTGTGGAAACATCAATAATTTGACTAGGCTTGCAAGATCCATGTGATTCCACCAAATAAAGTTTTGCTAAATTCCCCAGGTTTTGAAATCTGTCTTGACTCTTGGTTTTGCCGGCGATTATTTTGACAACCTCTATTAATTCCACTCTTAGCTCTGATCACTGTAATATATTAAAAAAAAAAAAAATCTGATTACTGTTTTTATGGTTCTCTGTGTTGACAGTCTTGACACTATTGTCAATACCCCACCAAACAAAACTTGGGGATTTATCTTGTGATCTTAAAGTCACAAGCTCGAATCCTTCCAAGTCCCAGCATAGGTTGCACAAGAACGGGTATTGACACGGATACGAAGAAATGTCTATCTTAAAATAAGGGACACGAATACGGGATGTTAAAATTCATATCATACATTTTAAAAAAAGAATTTGATCATATATGTATCACTCTATCCTCCCAACATAGGTTGCACAAGAACGGGTATTGACACGGATACGAAAAAACATCTATCTCAAAATAAGGGCTACGGATACGGGATGTTAAAATTCATATTATACATTTAAAAAAAAAGAATTTAATCATATATGTAGCACTCTATCCTCTTATTAGATCATACCATACTATGAAGGCACTCATTATTTAACAATTACCTTATATATATATATATCATACTTTACTTAAATTTTCTTATTAAAAAAAAGTTGAACAACTAATATAATAGTAGGATAAGGTCCGAGACGTATCGTGCGTCCCACATGAACACAACATTTGGATGAAGTATCCATATAACCTAGGTCCCAATGTGCTTAGAGAGATCTTTTAGCTTTCTTACTTCCAATTTTACAAGTGTCAAATTGTCAATACTCCTTTTATGACTAGTGATAACTCATAAGATTTAAAACACCCCCCACCCTCTTTCAAAATCTATTTTATGATTTGTATGTTTTGTTTTGTTATTAGATTTTTGTTTTGTTTAATTTTTTTTATTAAAATTTTTTTGTTTTACTTTGACATACACGTTTGACATACAAAATTTTAGTCTATTTAGGTAGATTTTGCTCACGTGGATCCCACCTTGACCAGGCCATGTGTTAATTTTGTGATAGGCAGAAATATTCTTATTGTCAAAATCAATAATAGTAATAAAAGATCGAAGCATTTTTCTTAAATTTCCATTAATTTGATTTTGATATGGTTTTTTCGAAAAAAAAGAAACCCTTTCCTTCTTATTCATTGTTAATAAGGTTAATAAAAGAAATTTTTGATTAATGCTTTTCAATCCTTCTTGACCCCATAAAGATATTGAATAAAAAGAACTGCTTTTTTTTCCACTATAATTTTTTAAAAAAGCGTTTAAATGCCCTTCAAACGTAAGTAAATAGATTCTAAACATATAAAAAGCATGTTGATTAGGTTCTTATACTAGGTGCCACAATTACAATCATTGACATTATAACTAGGCCACTAACTACAATTAAAAGAGTAATACATATAACGTTTCCTGCATGCAGCTTCCAGTATCCCCAAACTTTAAAGTGAAAATGCATTTGGATATAAAGCAAGGCGGAGGAGCAAAGAGGCAATTCTACTTGATTGATATCGGAAGCTGCTGGAAAAACAACGGAAAACCATGCAATGGGGATGTGCTCACTGATGTTACTAGATATAGTGAGATGATCATTAACCCTGAAACCCCCGCGTGGTGCAGCCCTACTAGCATCAAGTCCTGTCCACCCTACCACTTTACTCCCAACAACACCAAGATTCCCAGGAATGACACTACCCACTTTCCCTATGGCGCCTACCATTACTATTGTCGACCTGGGAATGCTGAGAACCCTGAGCAACCATCTGACTCATGTGACCCTTACAGCAATCCTCAGTCACAAGAGATACTCCAGTTGCTGCCTCATCCTATTTGGGCTGAATATGGATATCCTACCAAGCCAGGCCAAGGATGGGTTGGCGATCCTACTACTTGGGTGTTGGATGTTGGCGGCCTTTCTAGTAGGCTCTACTTCTACCAGGTTATCATGATTTCTTCAACTGCAGTGTTTAATTAGTGTATGCAGTAATTTGCTCTTTGTTTTTCTGGTTGTTGCTAACAAATTGCCATTCTCTATGCATATCAGGACCCTGGTACACCTCCAGCTAAAAGAGTATGGACTTCAATTGATATGGGTACTGAAATTTTTGTCAGTGACAAAGAGGAGGTGGCAGAATGGACAGTCAGTGACTTTGATGTCATTATCACTTGATAAGCAGGAGCTAGGAAATCTGCTTCTAAGGCTTTGTGCGATGGTAGCGCAGGGTGTAGAGTGAAAATACCGTAGGTAATATATTAAGTCCATAAAGGGCAGGGTATAGCCGTCATTTGACACATGAATCTACTGTGATCTGTGGCCATGCCTTTAATTGTAAAATTGACAGAAATGTGACTTGTTTCTCTACTGTGAGCTTTTCTTCAATCTAAAAGGAGATCTAGCATCTGCTCTTTTATTCAAATATATACTCATGGTCTCATACATTATCTTTTTTTCTTTCCTAATTTTGCAGCAAATTACTAACTGGTTTACCATGTGGAGAAGCAACATGAAATCAACCTCTATAATTTTGTAATATATAAAGCATAAGAGAAAAGCAGAAAACATTATGTTGTTCTCTTGTATTGGGAGCAGGAAGCCAAGGTTTGTAGATTGTAGGCAAGTTAAGAATGCCCCTGAATGTACCGTTCCAAAAATTAGATTCAAGAAGTTTAAATCTTACCGGAGTAAATTCTCATACTTAATATATGTAACCGTGAGCTCAATCGAGCTGCTGTTTTTGATTAGAAAACATAGTCGAATGATAGGAAGAGAAGAAGATAGGATAGAGATCAGAGATAAGAGAAAGAATTAAGAGAGAGAGACATAGAAGAGATAGAGAAGTAGAGAGTTATTATTACAAAATCTGTTTTGGGCTTCTTACAAGACTGTATTTATAGAACTACAGTAATAACTAACTCAAGCATAACATAATTCAGTTACAGATAATATAACAGGATTAAGATTCTGTGACAATATAATTATATATAATTGCTCATATAGATGTCAATATAAATTCATTCGTTAGTTAAATTACACCAGAAAGTCCGTCAGAACAACTGATATAACTGTAGCTTGAAGCCTTGGAGCTTCTGCTCAGCAAGTCAGAATAAATATATAAATAAAAGCAAATTATTAACCTCTCATCCCAGACACATTATGCTACAACAAGATTGAGTGGAACAGCAACAGCCTTAACCCAAGGAGCACCGCCTAGGAAAACTCCAGCAGAGTAGCGTTGGGCCTCAGCCTTGTTTAAGACCCTAACATTCTTCCATTTGACCCTCATAGCTGTATTAGAACCCGGTCCACGATTGGCATACTCACCATAGAATGCAGTGTTGATGTTTGCATTTCCAGCCCAGGGTTCATACCCCGCAGGCTGGATCAAGTCTCCCATTAGAGACTCAACGAACAGAGTCTTGGCATAGGTCTTCCATGGACGACCCAAGTAGGTTTTGAGCTGGAACCTGAGTGGGAAGAGTTCTCTATCAGGAAGGATCTCACAACCTTGAATTACAATCCCAGTGGGCTCATTAGCTGCTATACCACCTTGAGCTGTGACTAAATTCATTTGGTTAGGGTCACACTTTTTAGCAAGGATCTTAGAATTTTGGATCAAGGTAGCACCGTTCCCAAAGATGAAATCTACTGTTCCAGAAATTTGGCAATCACGGAAGAATTGAGACCCACCCTGAACATACAAGGTGTCTTGGAAGCCATCAAACCAACAGTTGTGAAACACAGCTTGAAGAGCATTAACCCTCAAAGCCACAGCTTGATGCCCCTTGGGACCAGCAGTGTTTTGAAAACCCATGTCCTTAGCAAAGAACCCTAAACCTTCCACATTAAAGGGAGCTGTCTTTGAAGTTTGAACGCCCTTAGAAAAACTCTTGTCCCCCGTCACCACTGTTTTTTTAGGGCCGTCTCCATACATGTGCACATTAGGGTGTTCCCTCCCTACAATGGCATCCTCCCTATAGATACCAGCCTTTACATATATAACATACCGGCCTTGCAGATTTTTCCCTGGATGGGCCCTGAGAGCATCTGTGATGGTCTTGAATTGGCCACTACCATCCTGAGCAACCACAACATTAGGCTTCATACCAGGTACAATTGCAGCACCTCCTGCAGTAACTGCTGCAGCACCTCCTGCAGCTAAACCCTTCTTACCCTTTCCCTTCTTCTTGCCTTTACCAACCCCCTTTTTATTATGCATCTTCTTCTTTCCACCTTTACCACCTAAGAGCCTACGTTCATCAGCAGACAACCACGTTGGGTAGCCCTCTCTATCAATGGCTATGCCAAGGAGACGACGACTACTAGTAACTGGGGTGCCAATGTTCGATGTAGCATTAGCTATAGTTGACAGCTCAACCAACTTGCTAGCATTAAGAGAAAGAGCTAAGTCACCAAGAGCTGCATTAAAAGTGGTAATGATGTCGAGCATGCTTACAGTGAGCTCAGTGGCATTGAGAACAGCATCCTGCATTGTTTTTTGAAGCTCGGGAGCCTCAGCCTCATCAAATTCATCTACACAACTAGTGGCAAAGGTGGCGACATCAGTGAGCCATAAACGGACGTTCCAAACTATATCCTTCTCTTTATACATTTTAGGATCCTGAACTTGTTTAATGGCACCATCCAAGCGATCAATTGCTAAATTGAATAGGTCTTTACAACTTTCAATAGCCATATTAGCTCTCTCCACATTTTTTGTTGCATTAGCTTTAGGGACGAGGGTATCAGTTAAATTGTTGGCCTTTGATATCTCCTCCAAAGCCATTTTGATACCAGCTTTGACATAGTCTTGAGGAGTGGCGCTCTCGTTCTGTGCTACTGATCCTAAGCTCTTAATGCATGAATCTTTAAATGTAGATGGTTCACATAGGGCATTAACTGTCTTCATTGAGGAAGACAAGTTTTCATCATCCTTACCATTATCCTTACCACCTTTATCCCCTGGGTGATGAACGACTACCACCACTCCAATGACAACACCAACCACCAAAATAATGGATATTAATGATACCACTACTTTACTTCCCATTGCTCCTCCCTCCCCCTATCGTTTCTTTCCCCTCGTAATTTTTTTTTTTTTTTCAATTGTAGTTTAAATGATGGAAATTATTATGAACTAGGGGAAATAAAAAATAAAAAATCAATTCATATTGAAGAGAGACGAGAAAAGAGAGATTTCTACCCTCCGTCTCTCTGTTATATTTACTCTTGGTAAACCACAATGCGGCAATTGTGTAAAATGAGACTATTTTATTATATGAACATCGAAGAAGTTTGTTATAATTAGGAATCAGGGTACACTATCTCTTCCTCATATCCCCTTAATTTTCTCATTACAGGAGTGTTTCATCCTTATGTGGTGCTCCGCTTTTCCTTGCTAAATCTATGGATTCCATAATCTTGGGTTGTATTTTGGGTGTCGCTGCTGCTAGTGCGACATCCCATAGGCTTATGAGTAATGAATTTCTTTTTAACACTATATAATACAAAATAATACTACACGTACGAACAAATTGAAAATGAGAATTCATTATTATTCATTTATTCTTTAATATATTACACACATATATAAGGCCTTGAGGGATACAAGAATTTAACAAAAATTATGTATAAAAAAATGTGACAAATGCAAAGCGATTAAAATGATCCTACTCAAATGGCAATAAATATTTGTATTACAATGAGTCACTCTTTGTAAAATTAGAAGAAAAAATATAGGTAAGCGTACGATAAGTAAACCTATAGGTAAGCGTATGATAAGAAATGATAACTCGCCTATAGTATTTTGAATCTCAACAGACAAAATTCGAGCACACCACAATCGGATTTCTTAAAAGAGGTGCAACTCGAGGTTATCTCTATCTGAATTCTAAATAAATACTTAGCCGGCTGAGAAATTTGCTATGGCATCCATTTCCTGCTGTAAGATAAGAGCGTCAATAAACATATCTAAACTTTCCCCTTGTAGCACCTCATTTATAGAGTGATGTGTAATGCCAACACGGTGATCAGTTACACGCCCTTGTGGAAAATTGTATGTACGAATGCGTTCAGATCTGTCACCACTACCGATCTGCAAAAGTTATCAAGAAATGCAACTTTCCAATGATTAACCAAAATATATACAGCTTGCTAGACAGACAAGCAAACAAAACAGATTTATCAAGCTCGAGGATGAATAGTATAGGCAATTCACCTGCTCTGCCCGAAGCTTCGATCGGTTTATCTGCATTTTATATCTCTCAATTTCATAAAGTTTTGCACATAGTATCTTCAATGCTTTGGCCTTGTTCTACAAAAGAAGAGCATACAAAAGGAAAGAACATAAGTACATTAATTAGTATGTATACAGTTCATTATGCTATATAATCACAAGAATTTTTGTGAGTTAGCATGAAAAGAAAACAAAAACATAAAAATTGATCCAAGAACTGACAAAAAATTTCAAACCACCCCCGCCCCCCCCCCCCCCCCCCAAAAAAAAAAAAAAAAAAAAAAAACCTAGCTGTTGTATCCTATGTCCACCTCAAAAGGTTCAATTATCTTATGCGTAACAAGTACCAATTAGTTTTCCTCTATAGGCACTGGATAAGACTTTATAAGAATTATACAAGTATTAAGAGTTAAACACTCGCATCTAGACCTTACAAAGTTAAAGATTATAATCTCAAAACACCCACATCGTGGTCATCAACAACATTGTTCAAGTCTCCAAATAAAATTTCATATCATCCCAAAAGCTGGTTTCGTACATCCTTCAAGATCACTTCCAGAAAGCAGTAACGTACTGGTCAAAGAGCATTAAGAAGGTTTACTATTTGCAATTACTAATTTATATTTCAATTTCTAGTTGTGTGACTTAAAGTTCAACCATAAGTATATCCAATTCCAGAGTAGATGAAGTGAAAACCAAATGTTTGAAAAAATAAGCAAGCAAACTCATATTAATTAATATTGAAGTTCTATAGTCTACTTAACATCCTTGTTATATTTGATATATTTTTTTTCAAAGAATTTCTCAACAAATTCAACAAATGAGCAGCATCGAAACTCAAACACAGTATTAAGAAATTATGGCAGCACCTTTTATTTCTCAAGGCAGAGAAACACACGTTTATTTAACAAACAAGGACTACTATCATGTCCAGAAAAGAATAGATAACACTATCTCTAATGTTTCACAAAACAATACATGTCCAGAGTTACTGTGAAATATTATATTAATTTTGTTTGTTACTGATGTGAAGCACTGTCATACCTCAAAAGTTTTTTAACTTACTCAAAACTTATTAGTGATGGAGTAGATTATAATGCCGGGGGTATTTTATGATTTTATAAAATGTGTTTATGGCAAACTAAAAAAAAGAACTTACTCCCTCTGTTTTCAGAATGATGTTCCTAT